TAAATAATGGGATAACATAGTATGGATGCTGATTCAGCATCTATACTATGTTATCCAATTATTGTGTGGATGCTTCAGCAGCAGGATACCTTATGAACTATTTCAGCTATCAAAATGTTCAGCTCCTCAAGGACATTCATGCTTCTCTTAAGAATTTTTCTAAACTTCATACTTTTGAAATATTTAGCTTTATTCTGAAAATCGTGCCCCATTGAAATGAATGTTGCAAATTCTACTTCAGCATAATTTCAGTTATCAAAATGTTCAGCTCCTCATAGACATTCATGCTTGTGTGCACAATTTTTCTAAACTTCATTCTTTAAAAATATTTATATTTATTTTGAATTTGTGCACCATTCAAATGAATGGGAAAATTATACTTCAGCATACTTTCAGGTATCAAAATGTTCAGCTCTTCAAGGACATTTATGCTTCTATTCAGAATTTTTCTAAACTTCATGCCTTTGTAATATTTAGTTTTATTTTGAAAATCTCGCCCCATTCAAATTAATGTTGCAAATTCTATTTCAGCATAATTTCAGCTATCAAAATGTTCAGCTCCTCAAGGACATTCATTCTGCTATTTAGAATTTTTCTAAACTTCATGTCTTTGTAATATTTAGCTTTATTTTGAAACTCTTGCCTCATTCAATTGAATGGAAAAATTCTACTTCTGCATACTTTCAGCAATCAAAATGTTCAGCTGAAATATTTTAACTTTATTTTGAAAGTTTTGCCCCATTGAAATGAATGGGAAAATTCTACATCATACTTTCAGCTATTTCAGGTATCAAAATGTTCAGCTCATCAAGGACATTCATACTTCTGTTCAGAATTTTTCTAAACTTCATAATTTATAGACTATTTAGTTTTATTTTATTAAATCTTGCTCCATTCAAATGAATGGAAATATTCTACTTCAGCATATTTTCAGGTATTTCAGGTATCAAAATATTGCATCTTATCCTTCAGATTATTCAACAAAGAACTTCAGTCATTTCTTCTCAACTATTTTAACAAAGAAATTCAGAAATTTCTACTCATCCTTCAGCTGTTTCAACAATTGATTTCAGGCATTTTCAGGGTGATCCTTCAGCATCACAGCATCCACACGCATTTTCGACAGGAAATGCATTTCTTTAGTTTTGGGTTGATAATGTGTTGCCAGTATTCATCAGGCTTCTTATCACATTCTTTGGCAAAGTATAACTTTGCAGTCATGTGCTGTTTCATTAGTAATGGTTTTCTTCTTGGATGCCATCTGTGGAGGTTGATTTCATGCAATGACTTTAACAGTCTGATTAGTTACTGAAATACCAGTTTCTGCAAAAAATCCTTGTGCAAGTTAGAAGCACTTACTACACTTAGCACACGGTTTTGTGCAGGGCATCATTTTTCAAGGATGGCCACTGGCTTTGGTTATTGGTAGTATGGCTTTTTACCTCTTATCCACTGCTGCAACTGTGTTTTGACTTATTTTCATAAACCTAACGACGCTCCTGTACCCTCACGTATCTTTATGACATGTCACACTCTGGTTTCATACTTGTTCCGGAAGTCCCCCACCATACGAAGCCATGTTGTGTTACATACAACCCAGGCCAAAACTGTGTTGGCCTTAATTGGAAATCACAGCTGCAGTCACTTTTGTTGAAGGGATCACAGGTGTACTCAATTTGTAGCCATGAGGTTGTACTTTGTAGCTCATATTTTGTCTGAATAAGCCTGACTTGACCATTATTTTATCTGGTAAGAGTTGGTAAAACCCCTTCCTTCACTTCAGTACAGATCTTTAGTCTTACTCATAGTACCTGAGCAAATTTAGGTATGAACCACTGGAGACACTTTAGTAAAAACAAGCTGTCCCACTGACCATTATCTCATGCTGTCAAGAAAATGCGCCAACTTGCATCCCCTCCTTTCCATATTTTACCAAGCATTTATCTTTAAAATGTGTTGATGTATAGTATCTTGTTAAAACATAGTGCACACAGAGGGTTGGGCTGAGGGGGATTAAAAACACAGAAAGGCTGAAATGTGCTTGGATGTGAGCCTACAGAGAATTCTAGACTCAGAGCTCAATTTAATGTATAATCTGACAGCAACAAGCACTTTTGCCTTCAAGCTGGCTGTCTGGCAGACTGATATACAGTGCACTGACTGAACAGAGGGAGATTTTTGGTGAACACGGTGATTTCACGCTCTCTTTTTCTATTTCTCTCTCTTTCTTTCTTTGTTTACAGTATTTTAACTTAGCAAGACACACATAAATATACGAATATATATATGCACACATTTAGGTACAAACACACCTTTGTAGTCTTGGTCTCGCAGGTGTTGGTGTATAAGGAATCGCAGACTCCTTGGTTTTTGGCCATGTTGATACCAGTGGTGCACATGTTATCCTCAAGCACTGTTACACAGCACTGTTCCTGCACTATCCTGCCAGCAAGAAAAAACACAAAACACAGGTGGTGCATTTATTCTCAGCTCTTTCAATAATCTCCTTGGAGAAACTCTGCCTTAAAGTGGAGCCCATTAAAATCAGCCTGAGGCAGCCTGATGGGGATCTCAGAGTTGTCACACTAACAGTGCATGGATGAGTGGGTTGCGTAAGTCCTGTGTGGATTCAGAGGAGGGCACTGGAAGTTTATTGTTCTGCAATGCTGACACCACTGGACCTTCAGTAAGATCGGCTGAGCAGCACTCCCTGATGCCTCTGCTCTGTTGTTTCAGGCCTGAGTTAAACTAACTAATATTTTACTTACTTGTAACTTGTAACATTTGTCCATCTCCACATGTCCTTCTGTTATTTTTTTTGGGGGGGGGGTTGCTTTAATAGTAACATGACTAAAACAAGCTCTTCCCTGATGATAAGCATGCTGTGCTTTGTATTTACAGATGGGGTTTCCTGTTGATACAGGCAGCTTGACCTCTGACCTCCCTGCAAAGCAGAATCATAAATTGTCTGTATGTCTCTACAGGAATTGCTAAAATACACCATATTAATATGATGGTTGTTTAAATGCCAAAGGCAGTATCTGGTTGAGGCACAGTCCCTCACAAGAGAGTATGATCAGATTTCATTGTATTGTCTAGCATTTACTGTCTGTTAGTGCAATCCGATCAGTTAACAGTGGGGAATGTTCCTATCTGGCCTGGGTTACTGTCTCACTACAGTTTTACAAGACAGAGAACGCAAAACACCACCCCCTCAACTCTCCTCCTTCATTTCAAACAAGACTCTTTATTAACTCTTACCAGAAATCGCTTTCCACACACTGTAAGTGTGGATCTCAAATTCACGTCAAGACACATGCCTCCCCTGTGGAACCTTTTAGGGGCACAGTTGTTCTCCTCTGTTCTCTCCTCTTTTTTCCTCATAGTTTTTTCCTTTGCTGTCTGAAGCAATCATTCAGATTTCCTGTTACTGCCTCTCTCCATCCTCCCACTTTGTTGCGTCTCACTTCTGAGGTATTTCCTTCCCCTTGCACTATAATTTAGACAAATTTGAGATCACTTAGGGTGGCTATGGTAAATGTGTGTGCCATCAGTGTTCACAGCAGCAGACCTGCTTGGCTTATGGACCTGAACCTGTGGTAGCACACCTACTACGGTTACAGCAGACCTGTTATTATCCCATCACTATTAGTGTTTCCTAGTTTCACATGAAGTGAATAATGCGCCTGGAGTTTTGTGGGAGTAAGATAAAACAATCTCATATTAAGAGCTGTTATGTAAATATTCAAGTAATCAAGTCAGGGACATAAGATCTGTCTTTTGTGATGTTTAATTACAAAACTTTCATAAAAGGGCTCAGTGCATACAGAAATCAGAGCTCTCTCCAGTCAAAGAGCAAAGCAAAACAAGAGCACTTCCTACTTATAATCTTGCTATTAAAATGTGTAAACATAACGCCCTTGTGTACAGAACACTGTGCTCCACATCATCTCCCTCATACTCACAACAGAAACACTGAGCACAGAGGTCAATACTCAGATGTAGACTCACTTCTCTCTACTACAGGAGTTTTGACCGATATCAAACATGAAAAGCATCTTCCAATTAATATTATACTTGATTTATATATGACTCATAACTGATTTCATATAATTTCCTCCACAAGGCTTAGAGAGTTTGGCCCATTTATAGTCTGGGCCACTACTGCAGGAGCTTTGGTAGCAGAGATGGAAAATATCAGCTGTGACAAACAGTGTAGTTAATGACTTGTAAATCTAAACAAGCCCCCAGCGAGTCTTTAAACCTGCCATCTTAATTCTTATGGTGTATAAATTTGAGATCAGTGATGGCAAAGTAGCAGATAGTGCCTGTTTACCTGCATATGGTTGACTCAGAGATGAGCGGGAGGGATGCACAGTCTTCGTTGTCTTTTCCATGCTTCTGTCCATCCTTACAGCAGTCCTCTACTGAGATCTGCTCTACTTCTACAGAAAATAAAAACAACACAATCCATGATTTTGCATGTGTGAACAGGTGAAGCGGTGATAAATGTGTGCATATCCCCTTCGCTGTGCACTGTCAGGAAGATATGTTCATATCTGTCATTGTCTGGTTTACTGCAGCGATGAGATCCCCCCCTTACATAGGACTATCCCAGGTGGAGTATGTTTCTGTACTTAACACACTTGCCTGCATACACGAGGTGGTTTACACAATCACCTTGAGTCTATAGCATTTATCAGATTGCACAGCAATAAGCACTATGTCTGATAGACTGTTTTTGCAAATTAATTGAGCAATGATGAGGCCCCTAAAACAAAACCCAAAATCTACCTGGCAATTTAAACTACCTGTGGGCATTTTTTGCCAAAGACAATGAGTGAGGGGTGTGTTGTTGCAGACAAAAAAGAGGCTTTTTGATTGAAGCAGTGTGGAGAGTGCGGAATGAGTCGACTGTAAACAGTCACATCAAGCACATCCATTTGCCTTTAGTTTGTGTGAAATAGCTTTGGCAGATCAGCCCCTTGGACTTTTTTTGCCTTCGGCTCATACCAGGATCAGTACGTCAAACTGAGATCCACTCTGAGAGCGGAAAAAAGAAAACAAACTCACCGTGAAATAAATTTTGTTGATCCATTGTAATACAAGTCGAGTTGTTGCCGGTTAGTGACTGAATGTTTTGAATTATTGGGAAGAGTGATTGTGAAATGCACTGAGCAAATCCATCTGTTTGAGACAGAGTCTGCCGTGTGCATTCTGGCAGGAGCCAGCGACTTCAGATAGTATGTTAGATTATGGAGCAAGGACGAGTGTCTGGAATACCAGTCCTCAGTTTTACAGATTTGTTGCTTTCTCCCAGAGAGGCAGGAGGAATTTTATTGTAACCATTAAATCAAAATAGTCAAGATGTGGCAGCAGGAGAGAGCAGGAATAGTCATCATCATAAACACTTCTCTGCCTCACTAAGCTCTGTAACAACACAATGGAAGTATCACAAAACTCTTAATTTCCCAGAACTGTTTGCAAGTTTCTGTAACAGCCCACATTTACATATGGGAAAGATATAACAGTTTGTTCAAATAACATGGGTTTTCTGAAGAAAGCAAATCTGGCTACAAGAAAACAGAGCACAGAATTAAAGCACTAAGTCCATTGCTACTAGGATGATTAACATGGAAGAATGGAGTAAATATAGGATTACCAGGCAACCTCATAAGCTGACTCACTACTGACTTCTGGAGGTCTGGCACATTCCTGAATCCTCGGGCCAATAAACCTTGTAGCAGCTGGATGAAATGAGATGGTATTTTAAAAGCTTTTCACATGGGCCTACCAAGTACACTAGGCCTTCTTAACATCTCTCTCTCTCTGTCTCTGGATGTTAAATACCTCTATCTGCCACACAACACCACAATATTCCAATTTGACCATTGCCAGTAATTGACATCCTTTTGGCAAAACAGCCAATTTGTACTGAAAATGGAAAGGTATCCAAAGAACACCTTTGCAGTTTGCACAAAATCACTAATATCAACATTTCCTTTCTCCACACAGTAGCTCTGTGTTGATAACTAATTCTAACCCACTAAGCATCACAGAGGCATTCCAATGCCACCACCGTCTGCTTTTTTGCAAGCCTAAATTGAAAGACCAGAAGCATCTTAAAACTGTATGGTGCTGATTTATCAAAAGAGCAAACCAGGCACAGCCATGCTCCAGTCTAGATGCAGTCTTCCATGGTTCAGTGTCTCTTCTCTGATGACGTTTTCTGTCTAAAATGGGCAGATTTCCATCTTGGATGTGTTAGGTATTTTTAGTCAGATAGAAATTGGATAGATACTTTATGTATTAGAAATGTTTAGTGGAGATAGGATGTCTGGTTAGACTGTTAAATGCTTAGTCATGCTTATGAGTTTCTACAGGGTACATCTGGTCAAGGATAACTAGAGAGAAGAGTTGATGACTGTCAGCAGACAGGGTGTTTAATATTATTATTATGATGTGTATAACTGTAGCCTTAGCCATAATATGTTCTTATGTTTAAGTCACGACATGTTACTAGAGGTCGTGAGAATGTTTTTAGTTACACACCACTTAATCAACAGACACACACACATTGATTTGCTTCATGTTTTGACTACTGCTATGACCAGCTGCAAAGCTGGTAACAGAGACGTCTCGGTTGACGTTTCTGTGTAGTATGGGGCTAGCCCAACCGAGGGGATATAATGTATAGGCCTGGTGGGTTCAGGGTCTTTCATCTTACATCTGCCTGCGAGCAGGTTGGAGGTGCAAGATACCTGAGCAGGTAATGTTAATTTTTACCTGTGTTCATGGAACAAATCAGCACTGTTTTGAAGTTACTTGGACTATCTCGTCTCTCAGAGTCAGTATGGTAAAAAGTACCGGGTACAACAGATGGTAGTGTTGCTTATGAAAGCCATTCTATTTTGGCAAAGTAGCACATGGCTTGCCTGTGTCTAGACGCTTCACATAAACAAGGCTTAATGAGCCCACTGGTGGAGATCTGCCCAGACAGAGTAGTTGGCTAGTTCTCACTACAGCAGGATGTGCATCTCGTTCACAAGCAGCACTCAAAGCTTTTATATGGAGATTTCTTTTATGTTGGTGACACAAACGCACTGTTGCACAAGATGTACATACATGCTTTGCACTCTATCTATCCAAATGACACACACAGATACTTCGTTTAACTGGTCAAGCTGTTTTTCCAATACAATTTTCCAAATTCAATTTTACTCCAAAGTGTGATGCAACCCCCGACAATGAAGACAGCTCAGAGAAAACTGGGCCCTAAGACTGAAAATTGCCCCATGTGTGACCAGGGGACATTTGGATGTGGTTCATCTTGTGTTTTGTTTTGGCCCAGTCAAGTATAAATTGTACCCATTCGTTTAGACCATCCTGTCCTGTTGAGACACTGGTCCTTCTGACATAGCATCACAACAAGCCAGCAAGCCTTTAGCTGGCAGGGCAGAAAGTACAGAAATCTTATGTGAAACTACATTTTAACACTCTTTATGTGATGCGCTATCTTTTATAACTCATGTTGAGTCTAAGCTATGCCATAAACAAAATGTAATAAATTAAAGAAAAGGTTAAAAGCCCACAGCTAACTCTTGATATTACATTTTTGATTATGTAAACATGATAAAGTACATATAAAATGATGTAGTATCCAGATTTTGTCCTCACAGTGCAGGAGTGCAGGATGCCAACAGTTAATAGCTGCTAGTAGAAATGACTGATATAATCCATCATTACCTATACAGTAGTACATTTTAAGTTGTATGGGAAAACAACTGAAACATAAAAAACACAGTAAGCTTACATACAGTAAAATAACCATTCCACTAAAGCATATTGTGATATTTTTCTTACATGTAGGCTAAATAATGGAAACGTGTAGCTTCATTTCAGTGTAAACACTTAGAAGTTTATCTCTCTAACTGTGCTTTGACCACATGCCCCAACTAGTTTCATCACCTTCCTGAGTCTCACTCTTTCTCTGGTGTCACTTTGATTCTCGCTGTAAATACCTTGGTAAATTCATAGAAATATTATTGTGCAGTATAACATTCACACGCGAATATATTATTTGATTTGATTTGGCATCGCCTAATTTGAAGTCGTCACGTAGTAGTGAGCTGTACAGTTTCATAGAGAAAGGTAACGTACCTTGGCCAAGGAGAGCTCCGAACACAGAGCAGAGCAGCAACACGCACGGACCCATTGAATGAAGAGATTTTACAGCTGAGGGGGGAAAAGTATCCGAGTGCTCTGAGCTTCCCGATGCTGGCTGTTCTACAGGATGTGTGAATACACAGCAGAGTTCCGTTAAAAAAAGTCTGACTTCGTGGAAAAGTGGAGGATGTGATGGACTTGAGTGAGTCGCAGTTTGTGGAGGATTGAGCGTCTAATTATGGCACAGTGAGGGGCGGGCTGGGGCCACAGACACCGACTTAATAATCAAAGGTTTTCCCCTCTAAATTAAAGGCATTATTTGGAGCTCATCAACAGTATATAACAATTATCATTTTTGTTTAAAGACTGGTTATAATACTCAAAGGTACGTTATACTGTATTTCAGGAAAACGCCCATTCTACTAAAGCGTTTTCATTTGATTGATGTATTTATGCAGGTCGGAAAGTATAAGACCTGAAATACTACCTAGGAAGATCATTTTCTTGCATTGCATGGTTTTTCTGATTATGTGCTGCAAAGTATGCATGAACACATGGAAATTTTCTTCCCATCAATAGTTAAGCAGACTTTTTGTCTGTGACCAGTAACTGTACTGATTACTCAACAACTGGAGCTGGTTTTCAGATATTTCAAAAATCTGCTGTGTCCAGATTGGAAGCAGTAAAGCCTTGGGGATATTTTTATTGAAGGACACAAGAGAAATCAAAACATAATATCTTCATTATGTGTCTGCAAATAAGGACTGCTAAAGTATATTTGAGTTTGTTAATTGAAACCTGGCTCTGCTGTTGCATCCATCCTTATTTTAATCTTCACTGATATCTGCACAGTGGTATTACAGCTCTCTGTATGGTACCACTGAGTGTTAGTGGCCAAATGTCAGCTGTATCAAGAGAGTCATTTCAATCAAAGTTAATGAACGAAAGCTTTTGTAATAATGCCACAGATATGGGCTCATCATCAGCCAAAGTGATCATCAACTGTAAGAAGGAGCTGGGTATAGGCCACACACACACACGTATGCACATAGCCTACACAGACATCTACCAGAACTGGCACAAAGAGAAATAGAATTGCTAGACTGCATTATAAACATTTTGTACCAACTCTGCAAATTCAATCAGTCTACTTAGTCTGGGAATGGAGACAAACAGAGGTTAAATGATCTTCTAATCAGAGCCATATGGCTCCAGCACCAGTCTAGCTGCTCTAGAAACCATCACAAAAGACTTGATATCGGGACACCACAGACAGCCCACAAGTATATGGCAGTTGCAGTATAATGGTAAGTGCATTATTAAAGTGCAGTGTGTGACAAGCTGTGTCTCAAACTCTGTGCTCTTCAGTCCACCACAGTCTTCCTGTAAGAGAAATCTGGCAAGAAGTAGAATAACATTTTAACTACACCAGGGTTTTGCGTGTTTTCACCCATTAACTAAAAAAAATCACATGCCACAAAAAGTAAATGATACATTCCTGAGTAGTGTTTGTGCCTCGCAGACGGCTATTTGTCTCCATTATTTCACAGTATGGCATAACAGAAGTGTGAGATGAACACAGAGCCATTTTTCTATATCTGTATCTTAGATTTTATTTTTCTAATAAAACACTTAAAAGATCCCACAATGAAGTAAAACTAAGCCTGCAGAAAACATAAATGTGTAATCCATAACGATAAACAATATGTCTGCTTTTATTTTGCCTGTCACTTTACTGTTGCGTGTTAAAGCACATCAGAGATACACAGTTACTGTACATTTCTACACTGGTTGCACAGCAACAACAAAAGCAACCACAGTTTTAATGTAATGTATCACATAAGAGGGGCAGCTTGTCTGCAAATTAATGTTACTACCATTGCAAAATGGAAATCTGTGCATGGAAGGTGCCATATAAGAAAACCAGACCAAAAATCAAATAAGCGCACTGCAGCCTAACTTGAAAAATGTGTTCAAGTATTGTAGTAAATTAAGTAAAACTTGCAAATCACCTTAGTCCTGAAAACACATTTAAACTGTGCAGCAGGGTTTCTATATATTAAGACTGGGTTGTATAGCAGCACAGATAAGGTTCTAGCAGACATACATCAGCCAAGGATGTGGCAACCCCCTCTGTAATGAAACAGTAACCACAACATCAAAGAGCAGCCTTTTATCATGTGTAATCTTATCTTTTCCTTTGTGTAATGTAGAAAAATACAGGCCCCTAGAGTCTGTTTAAGGACAGAAGATTGCCCAAATGAGAGCCAAAGCAGTGCCAGGCTCCTGCAGAGCACAGTGAACATCTGAGGGCAACTACCTCTCATGCCTGCTAGTGTTCCGGAAACTACCAACCCTCACTCCTCCTCTTCACCTTCAATCCACATTTGGGCTTTAACAAGAAACAGCAGGATGAGCTGACCTCTTAGCTCACAGGTGGAGGAAATTGTAAGTGGCCGAGGTCACATTCAAGAGGTGTTAATCTTGTGGAGGGTTCCTTTGAAGTTCAACAAACCTGTCTTGCCAAGCCTGTGTCAGCAAAGGGCCACTAAAACACAGCCAGGCAGACTGAGGACTGCCCTCTGTGATCCGAAGACCTTGTTCACTGTTACTCAACACAACTGCCAAAACCCAAGAAAAGGAAAAGTAGCTTTACTTAACTGTTACAATTAAGCTATAGTGAGGGAAATAGTAGCTTTCTGCTTTTTAAGAAGGGCAGTAATATGATCCATTAAAATACACTGACTACTGTTTTACACAGAATTAATCCTGTTGGATTTGATATTGATTACACTCTAAAGACGTATGTTTATGGCTAAATGTTCTGGCTCTTGGATATTATAAGAAAACGGTCCACAGTGGTGAGTGTGTAGAAGACAACATCACTTGAATTAAAGTCATCTTGGAAAAAATAGTCCCATATTGAAATGTATGGAGTGTGTTTACTTTATTACAATAAAATCTGAAAATCACTTAAAATATGAACACATTAAATAAAATGACACAATATTTACCTTACAACATTAAACCTATAGTTCTACACTATCTTTAAAAAGTGACAAATCAGTGACAGAACAAGAAATAAAATATAATATGTAACAATGTACCACCTTAAACAGTCTGGTTGTTGTTTTTTTTTTGTTGGTTTTCATTTTATTGGCCTTGAGGTACCACATAACACATCTTTCTCCACATAAAATAGGCCCAAAACATCAAAGCTCATGATTATCTATTGACACATGGAGCACTTAACAGGAAAAACACACCAGACCTGACCACATTATCTGTTAAGTGTTGGTGAACCAGTGCCTGTCTCTGATGTGACACGATTTATGATAAGGTAAGAAACAACTTTCATGTACCAAAAAAGATACTAGCAACAATACTAAGCTAGGTCAGCTGTACCCTGTAAGATTAATTGATTGATAATTAATTGTTAATCCAACAAGTATCACAGTATAGTCCAGAAAATAGAAAATTGGTGGTTATTATTTGTGATGTTTTGAGTATAATTCATCATAAAACTTTTTTGTGACCTGAATTTGTGTCATAATTGTGTGTTAGTTATAACCTACATATTAGCTGGTGCTGGCGGTGCTGTCAAATATCTAAACAATTAAGAAGATTTGCTCTTTCATACTACTCCCTCCACTCTATTGGGACAGCTTGGTGTCTCCTGGGAGCCTGTACATGTGCGCTGGCGCTTTGCAGGCTGGGATATACTATCAAGAGATGAGACTTGAAAGTCAGGAGGGGCGGTTGGTATCATCTCCAGTTTGATTTCTGGAAAAGTCTCATCAGGGAACATGATCCCCAGGTGATCTTCAAACAGTTCCTTTAACTTCCTGTGTGCCATCGTGACCTTTGCGTCAGCCTGCTGTGCAAGTAGAAGCAAGGATGAGGGCAAAACACTTTATTTACAGGTGTCGAGAACTTATCAACACTGAAAAGGTTTTTTTTTCTAAACAGTACCTTACTGAGGAGTGCACAGTTCCCAAAGATGAGCCTGATGTCTGATACAAACTCTGCAGTACTTTGGTAGGTGGCACGCTGCTCAGCCTCAAGACGGTTTTTCACAGTGAAAAGATTCATTGGTCTGTTATTATCACATACCTACAGTATTTAGATAGGGAGAGAGAAGAATAAAACACCATAGGTAGATGTTGAAATGAAGCCATGACTTATAGCTCATATTTGTAATGTATGTCAGCATTGTGCATGTGACATTAATCCTGTGAACTTCTTTGCAGTCAGTTGTGCCTTCAGACTCACCGAAGGGGATACAGGCTCCTGAAAATCTGAACTCAGCTTGCTGCAAAATAAGTGCAGCAACAGCCTCTCACACTTCTGTAGTGGTAGAAAAAGATATCAGACATGTCATCTGATCCCAAAGAAACCAATGTTTTCTGTGATTCTGAGGTGTTCTTCAATGCATTTATCAGTAAATGCTATTCTTCTTTACACATTTCACATGCCCAGCCCCTTCTGACTTCAGAGGTGGCTGTTATAAATTTGTAGTCTTGTCATTAATTAAGATACAGTGTGCTTTATTTACCAAATTATTATCATTTGAAAATAAGAGTACTGACTCGTTTGTCCACAAGGGGAAATCCCTCCTCAGAGTCTGGTTCCTTCTTTACTGTTTTGGCCTCAGGTTTGCTATCACAGTCGTACTCCATCTCAGGAACTAATAGGTCACGGCAGAAAGAGCAAAACCATTCCCCACTGAAAAGAAACAGGCCAGAGTCACAGTACAAAGGCACATAAGCAGGGACATACTTTAACAAGTGCATAATGCTGCTGTCAGATCTCCAGAATGTAAAAACAATTATTTTATTCCTTTTGTTTTCATCCTACAAATGACCATAATTCCATCTGAGACCAGCAGTAATGAAATTGTACATGAGAAAACTTGCCTGGGAGATTTGAGGAGAGTTGGAATGTGGCATGTGAGGTGAAAAACTCTGGGACACTTATTGCAGCATAACAGCTCTCCTCCACTCTGACACACAGCACACAAGACTTCATTAGAGTTTTCCACCCGAGCTTGTTCTTCTTCTCCAGGAGAGCAGACGAGATGTGAAGGTCTTCCACTGGTCTTGCTCTGGTCCCATGGGCTGCTTGGAAGCACTGAATGACTATGAGGTTTGTCGTCTGTGCTTTGAAGAGAAGCTGGAACCTTGTTATCCTCATGTTGGGCACTGATTTGGGGTCGGTCACCTGTACTGTCAGGGAGGCTGGCTCTTGGGTTGGCTTGTACCTGAAATCCACAAACAGTGAGAAAAACAGCTGTCAACATGTTGCAACCAGTATAAAGTAAATAAACTCATGCACTAAGCTAAATCCATATTATACACAAAGGTCTGATGTGGCTAAACTGGCCAACAGTACAGTCAGATTTGGAGATTTAAAGGGAAATTCTGGTTTCATACATGTAATTTCAGCCTCATTTCTATTGGTAATAACAGCATTGTACTAATCAAATTAACTGCTGAGAACTGGGAATATGGTAACCCTAAAATAATAATAATTAAATGGAGTAAGAAATATGAGCAGCCAATAACATCATGGTTTTAAACAACCCTTCAAGTTAACCAAACTTATATGGAAGAGAAATGTGATGATAAATCAGCTTACAGACTGATTTCTTGATTCAGTTTTGACCACAGATGGTGTGCCAGCACACAGCTTTTTCTGTTCAATCACGGTTTAGTAGTGAAACTGACTAGCACTTACGCTTATGGATTTACCTCAAAATAAAAAGGTTTAGATAATCTGGCTAAGCTGCTGACCTAATTATTTTAGCAAATGCGTTGTTATAATAGCCAAAACTTCTAAATAAAACCTAAGTCACAGTTTCCCTTAAAATCATACTCTGTGCTCATCCAATACATTTGAAAATGCAGACTTCCAATTGACAAGTTCTGGATAAAAGCAATTACTAAAAGTCAAATGGACATATAAAATACTTATCGGACTCAAAAATAATGTATCATCTCCTCACATAGCTGCTGTCATCTTCTGACTCATCTTTAATGACAATAATGGGCCCTGGTGACGACCGTCGTCTTTTCTTGACAGCTGAGCACACTGCTCCTCTAGCCTGGTGTGTTTCTGAAGGTTTCCAAGAAACAGTCCTTGGAAGCAAAGTGAGAGCCAATTGGGATAAAGCAGAATTCACTGGAGACTATTAGCACAAAGGAAGTGGGGTCATTTCAAGGCTGTACTGAGAGAAAGAAGAGAAAGAGACAAAGAAGGTGTGCATGTATGCAGCTGTCTCCTTACCCTAGTTTCTCCTCCCGGGACACAGCAGTGTACCCTGGTGAAATCTGCTCTCCTTAGAATTGACAGAAATGAAAACCTGTTAGTAAGACCACAACAATACACATAGTATGCAAATTATACAAAAGTAGAAGTGACACTGAAGACACAGACATACCATTTCTGTGTGGCAAAGAAGGTGACCGACTCTGAGGATGGTTTGGTTTCAGCGTATATATTGCACTAGCTGAATCGTTCCTCCTGTTCATGTATGTGGGTTCAATCTAAAGGCAGCATTGCATGTCATTTACTGCAAAGCAGATGTGTGTACTGTAATAATAATCTTCAGCTACAAAGTCTTTAGGCACCGTACCGGAGGGAGCCACTTACCATCTGTCGTGACTGAGGTGAACCCACAGCACCACCAATGGACAATGGTGTAATATGGGTGTACAAAGGAGGAGAGGAAAAGACACCCATAGGTTTGGGTTGGTAGCTGGACCTGCTTCCCATCCTTCTAAGAGGCTACAAAAAAATGAGGGAGATAAACAAGGATACAAAAAAATGCTGCAATCTGTAACTTTAACCTTGCAGGCACAGCAATTTGTTTCTTCCTACAAAATGTATGAAACCATATGGCATTTCTATAAAATATTTACATGCATATGTCCAATTTCTTTTGGTTCAGATACATGTTAAAGGTCCATACCAACTTTTAAAATCTTTTACTGCATAACAGTTCACCACAATCAGTTTGTTACTATAAACGATGCTACTACATTACTATAACCAAGACCTTTATTTTATAATGCCTCCAGTACTTTGACTGTTGCTTATTAAGTCATGGGCATTTAATGTTACAAAAAAATGTCTTCAGGGGCTTCAACATTAACCATTATTTTTCAAAGAACACAACAGTCATTAGATTTGCTAAATTTCCAGGAGGCTGCAAGTTTACATTTATTTCAGAACAGGGTGAAATTTTCACTGTGAAAATCAACTTGGAGAGAATTGAAACTTGCCTTGTCCTGTTGGCTTTTCTCTTCATCAAAATTACATGAATGCTATGTGGTAATTCCTCAAATTAATATGGATTTACAGCTGCACTACATAACATTAAAATAAAAACAAAAATAAAAGCAGACACACAGTTCACAAAAAATGATAGACTTTTCAGTTTTCCTTAAATGCCTATAAGGCTATACTATAATGAAGTGCAAAGGAAAAACAATAGCTACTTACAACAAGAACCCAATCTAAAACTGATACAGAATGACTAAAGCAAGCTTAATAGATGCTTTGCAAAAACACTGGAATATTTACAGAGAGAATCTGAGACTCAGAGGTCAAAATGCAGCTGTAACAGCTTGCTCACATCAGACTGACACAAACTTGTGTGTGCACTGCACATGCCAGCACTGTCCTGTGAATAAGCCTATACTTCAGAGCTAGACCCAAACCACTCAGTGAACTAGACTAAACATCTTGGATGACGAGATATTATCCGCCCTTTCTTATGGACTCTTAGGTCTGTCCTCTGTGGATGACGAGATATTATCCGCCCTTTCGTATGGACTCTTAGGTCTGTCCTCTGTCACATGTTGGCTGCTGCTGTGCTGCAGATTTAGCTGTTTTGTTTAACGATTTTGAGTCACAAGCTCAAATCCATTGTGACAAGGAAAGACATAAATTGCCTAGGATATGAAGGCTGTCAGCTCTATTTAGGACAATGCCATCTGCTGTCAGTGCATGTTAAGAAAGCTTGTCAGTCAAACGGACATAGCACACATGCACACTCACACACTGAATACACACTAACCTGGGGAGTAAACACAGGGCTTGGTAAACTGCTCGTTGGGCTGATGTGATTGGAAGGAGGCCCCATAAACCTATGGCCTGATTGAGGAAGCAAACTCTGCGAGGGAGAGCCTCCCTGCATGGCCCCTGGGACAGTTTGCTGTAGTCTGACACTCTGGTGTCTTGCCCACGGCGGAGGAGGTGGCTGCGGCTGCCAGTGGGCCTGTGGGGTTAGCTTGTCTACCTGCATCTGGAGCTGAGCCAAAGTATTGAGTGGAGCTCCCAAGACAAAGCCGTGTGGAGAGCCTGAGGGACCCTGCCCAGGGTGGGAGAGCTGATGAGGGATACCCTGAAAACCAGCCAGCTGGTGGCCTGGTACACTCTCCACCACTAAAGAGCCTGAGGAGACACACAGCTAGATGAGCATAACAAAGAGGGATGAAAAATACACAATACAGACACAACTCCTCCCAGAGAACTGTGGGAATGAGAGGGTGTGGAAAATTTTAGAGTTTTATTTGCTTTTATTTATTATATTTATTTAATTCATTATGCTTGTTTAATATTTATGTGTACAAGGGTGACAATGGTAACACAGGCTGAGATGAGAAGGTTGACTATGAACCCAGTAGCCTTAAGCAAGCAAGGGAGAGAAAAAGCTTATCAGTCTGTTTGGATGGCTGCCCAGACTAAGCAGAGGGTGAGGCACTGGTCAAGGCCACTGACCCTGCAGCTTTAGAGGGAGTTGGGCAGAAGAGGTCTTTTTGATGTTATGTGGAGAATCATTAATTTTGCTCGTTTTTTGTCAGATGACAGCACCACAGGTTATTCATTTGTCTGGTGGTCAAATGTCATCTGTGATTATTTGCTTGCCACCATATAATCACTTTAATATTATTTAAGTGTCATCTTATGACAGATTGAAATGTTTGCATGTCACCTCATGTCACATCAGTGATGTTTTTGACATGTTTTGATCATATCATTTGCTCCTGAACGTGCATGGTTATTAAAGGTCACTTCTTTTATTTTTATTTTTAAAACTAATATTTAGCGTAAAACAATTGTATATTAAGTAGTTTAGAAGTGTATTGAAAAGGTATTCCAAGAAAAAAAAAAAACAATAGTATTTTAAAATAAGATTTATGAAGGGGCGTGACCAATTTAAATGCATGTTATCAGAATATAATGGTGTTGCAACCAAAACAGCGTCAAGAGAGAAAAGTGCAGTGAAGCAAGCCTTGGCAAGGAGGGGCCGAGCAAAGGTACATAAAGAGGTGTTTTAGAGGTTCGTGATTCAGAAACTGGACCCTTGCTGGCCCTGGGGAACGTTCTCCCACAAGGGTTTAGGCTTAAATAAGCTGCAGTTGTTGTAATTACCAGGCATTTTGGGCCAGGGCAAGTAAATAGTGTTAAGACAAAAGGAAATCTATTCTCGGGGTCAGGATTAGTTTCTATTACACCTTACCCAGATCAACATTTGAGGCCCAGTATGACGATCGACAGTGGAAGCGTATGGTGCTCTGTGGTATAAATGTGGTGCTGCATTTTGTTCGCAGGAGGTTTCCAATCTGAAACAGAATCTGTAACAAAAGGGAGACACTTAAAACATTGCAAACAAGACAGACCAGGCTACCAACCAGCTTTCAGCATTGAGCTGAGAATGAGATGCTGCTGAGTGAATACATGACCATGACCAGACAGGGCTTACCAGACGTTTACAGTACAAGAGGGCCGTGCCCCCATTTCTGGCTGTGGCCCATTTTGTGAAGTTGATGACATGATCCAGGTGTCTGGATAGATACCCGATGTCCTCCTGTTGTTTTCGTAACACATTCTCATGATCCTTTGTTACAGCCTGGAAAACATGAATAAGTGAACATCTGCAGTGTTCAAACTGCTTGAGGGTATGTGCTCTGAGCCTCAGGGTAAGATAGTCAACTGAGCTTGTAAGCAAACAACACCACAGCTAGCTACAGGTTTACAGCATATGGAAAAACGAGTAAATCATACCGTTTTGTTGTAAAATACTTTTTGTCTTACCTCAAGTTGATTAATTAGCATTTTTTCTTTCCTGTTTATCTCAAGAATCAAACTGCAGATGGACTTCTTTATGTCATTATGAACAGATGTACGGTTTTGATCAGCCAGAACAAGTCTGCAAAGCATAATACAGTGGGTACTGAAATTATATGCGGTATCAAGCAGCACATTTTTCAAAACACATTTTGGAGACAATGGTTTTATATTCCTAAATAATTTACTAGTTGTTCTTGTTTATGATATTTAGAGGTCAAATGGAAGAGCAAAATAAATTTTGTTTATACAACTCTAAGAACTATGAATGTTTACATTGTGTTCTTGACATTCTTAATGCTGTGTATGTGGATATACATACCCATTCTTTATGGAGTTTGACACCTCTTCAATCAGTTTCTTTTTCTCCTTCAGCTGATGGGTCATACTTTCCATATGCTGTTTGTGGTTTTTATAAGCATCTTCAAGAAATTGGTAACTACTCCAGAAACAACATTAAATCAGTGGATACAGTACAAAATGTAAACTATGATTACATACTAATAGTGCTTTGCTTTGCTGCCATGATTTAATCTCTTTGTTCCTCAACTGGGTGATAAGAGTGATGGGATATACAATATTACTTCTGAAACAAAAAGCCAGTGTGTTGCTTCATCAAAGTGCACATTAAAATGGGTAATGTGGTTGAAATCAGGATCATGATAACCATGAGGATGTTTTAGTATTTTAAAATGTGACTATACTTGTGGTCCTTGTGCTTGACTAGCTGGCAGTCTCGACAGGTTAGCAGGTCACAAGTCTCACAGAACAGTTTCAGCAGCTCTTGTTTGTGGATGTCGCAGAACACTGGCCTCTGACTTGGCACACCGTGGAACTCTGGAAAACAAGAAGTACATGACAAATATTGTTCCATCCACTGCCTGGGCATGGAGCTTGAACAATACGATAGCCCTAAAGTGAATGCTTAAGGCAATGCCTCTTATTGAAGAATTTTAAATGGAGCAAAGTAAAGAAGGCATGCATAAGACTAAGATATAGGCTAAGGTCACTTGCCAACTGCAAAGTAAAATTTGGACCAATAACCTTCAAAGTCATTATTAATACACCTTTGGACTTTGCTTCTTTTTCCAGCTAGACATCTAAATTGTTTAATTAAACTCAATTCTACAGCACTTAATTAGCAATTATAAACATGTTCCATTAAATGTTCCTAATTCCATTATGTGTTAAATTAGCTCTCAGTACCACAGAATTCCATTAAAACAGGGAAAGATGAGAAATATCCATCATGGGCCATTAAATGTTACTCTCAGGGCCAGCATTTTAATTTACCATCCTTGTAAGCTAAGCTTAAAGTTTTTTAAAACAACAGTAATATTAAGGGAAGTAGTAGTGAGGGAATATCATAGGGAATTTCATTTTTGATATACTGAATCCTGGCTCATGTTAATGGACTGTTAAAATACCTTGTGACACCTCTGTCTTCTCTCTGATGGTGTGGTCTTTGGTGAATTTGACTCTTTGGTGGGCCTCCACACAGGTGGCGCAGAGATACTCGGCACAGTCCATACAAAACCCTGTAGCTTCAGTGTTGTCATCACAGGTCATACAGAGCTATAGACAGTAAGATAAGGTGTTACAGGAGACACTGGATTCTACAGTTTGTATCCCCTGATTGACTTGATCTTATCTGCAAGAATGGCACCAGAATGGAAAAATGTGATATACTCATCTAAGTGTGTGTAATATGCACAGGGAGGGGAACGTTAGTGCTGCTGTCCAGATGTTCCCAGTTTAAACCCTGTATTATTATCTATTTAAAAAATTAGCAACAAGGCTGCCCCCATATGGTAATGCATATTGTCACCAACCTGGAGTGTTCTCTCTACTGTGCTGCTGGGAGACTCGGCAGAGTCCTTCACAAAGACATTTTCCATCACATCTGCCTCCATACACTCCTGCCTGCACACTGGACACCGAATCACATTAACTGGAATCAAACAGAAACAGGCATGTTGGTCTAAATCAGTAAAATTGGATTTGCATGTGCTATTAGAAAAAAATAAATGTAACCCATACAAATGAATGGAAAGCGCGTTTGTATCTATACCTTACAGAGCCACAATGTATTTTTACTGATTTAATCTATTTATATGTTTGTAAACAAAGTAACTCACGTGGTTTGGGCACACTGTCAACCCGGGAGTTCTGCACCTCCGCCTGGGCCAAATTTCTCGAGGGTGAAGGTAAACATTTCTTGCAAAAAGAGTGCAGACACGGCAGAAGTCTGGGCTCTCGACTGTGAAAGTTTAGACGGCAAATGGGACAAGTGTCCAGGTAATTTAGGTCGGCTACACCGGACTTTACCTCTTGCACTGGCATACTCTCAGCCTCGTTCTCAACGATGATGACAGCAGCATCCCCCTGCTCCTGTTTGTCTGTGCGTCCATCCATTTGCTCCACGTTTATCCTTAAAGATCTCTCTGTGCATAGACTAAGTTTCATCCCCACAGGTGAGTACACCAGGCTCAAGAGTCAGTTTCCTCCTACCCTCGCGAAGAAAGCATCTTCCACCTGCGTTTCCATTTCACTGTCCGCCAGTTTTAGCCTTTTCAACACAGCGCTATCGACATTTCTTCTCACGTTGATTCCCTCGTAAAGACAATATCGACAAACCTGAATCACAGAAAATAAGAAAATATATATCCGCGTGAGAGTGTCGCACACTCGCGGAACGCAGATGTTGCTCAAATTGGAACGCACGCGTTTGTTGCGGCACCGAGAAGGGTGGGGTCAAAAACTGTGCGCGTTCAGATGGAGAACAAACTCCACTGATCCCAGCTCCAGGTTTTAATGCTTTACCAGCCGTCATTTTTAAAAAATATATCATCACTTCAGCTAATTTGTTGCGTATAGTAGCCCGGTGCGTTAAACGCAACGTTACTTTTCAGTGCGCTGCGTTTGTCATTGCGTCAGTGAGACGTAAAATATGTTTGTGTAGCTACCAAAAAGTTAATGTAACTCTGGGAAAAAAGACAAAAAAAACAAAACAAAACAAAACAACAAACTCATTCAAGCTAATTCCATCCTTTCTTAAAACGAATCACCCTATCTACCTCCCAGCTAGGAATTTTTTGTTTTTTTTAGGAGAACGTTATTCTAGAACGTTCCAATGATGTTCTCAGTGGCAAGTCTTTAAAAGATTCCTAGACCGATCGTATTGTGGGTGGAAGAACGTTTCAAGGTAACGTTCTTGGAAAATTCCAAATAAAATATTCTCAGAATGTTATAACAAAAACATTCTTAGAATGTTTACACTCTTTGTACTCACTAGATATTCTCCTCGTCTTTTTTTGTGCTCTGCCTTACGTTACTGCCCTGGATTATCTGTTTATCAATGCCTTTAGCCAGCTCCTGTGTTGTTGTTTTTTCTACTTGGACTGTTTCCTCCGCACCGTGGCTCTCCTCTTCCCTACCAGGCAGGTCAATGCACAGTCACCGGTTGTTTCTGCCATAACCAACGCCTCTCTATGCCCTTTCAGTAGCCACCGCTCAACCACCGACCAGCCCAGGAGTGATCCCACCTCGGCCCACCTCATCCAAACCATCCATCTCCTCACTCCTCACCTCCTGCTCATGGTCGACACCCGGCTACTCCTCATCTTTCAG